TGGAATCAAGAAAAGAACCAGCGCTGGTGAGGCCGTGGAGGGCCCAGCACCGCCACACGCTGCTGGGGGCATGTGAAGCCGCAGCCACTGTGGAAAAAACTATGGCCACTCTTCACGTGGTTGAACGTCCAGTTGGGAGGCTGAGACAGGTGGATCACCTGAGGTCAGGAGTTCGAGACCAGCCTGGCCAACATGGCAAAGACCCCATTTCTACTAAAAATGCAAAAGTTAGCCGGGCATGGTGGCAGGTGCCTGTAATCCCAGCTACTCAGGAGGCTGAGGCAGGAGAATCACTGGAACCCAGGGGCGGAGGGTGCAGTGAACTGAGATCACACCACTGCATTCCAGCCCGGGAGATATATATATTTTTAGACAAAGAATCTCATTTATTATAAATATATGTATATCATATATATAAGAATGAAGTTAGACACCTCAACCTCACACCATACATAAAAATAACTCAAGATGGATCAGAGACCTAAATGTAAGAATTAAAACTATATCAAGCCAGGTGCAGTGGCTCATGCCTATAATCTCAGCACTTTAGAAGGCTGAGGTGGGCGCATCACCTGAGGTTAGGAGTTCAGGACCGGTCTGGGCAACATGGCAAAACCCTGTGTCTACTAAAAATACAAAAATTAGCCAGGCGTGGTGGCGGGCACCTGTAATCCCAGGTACTCAGGAGGTTGACGCAGGAGAATCACTTGAACCTGGGAGGCAGAGGTTGCAGTGAGCCAAGATCATGCCCCTGCACTCCAGCCTGGGCAACAGAGCGAGACTCCAATTAAAAGGAAAAAAAAAACCAAAGTACTGGTTCATACAACTGCACAGGTGAACCCAGAAAGCCTGTGACGTGAGTCACAGCAGGCCCCATAGCATCGATCCCACCCACACGGCAGTGCAGGACAGAGGACTTTGCAGACAGTGTGTGGCTGCCTAAGGTGGGAGAGATGGGACCCGGAGGGTGACGGCTGGCCTGAAGCGTACAGGGTTTCTTTTGAAGAGATGAAAATGTCCTGAAATTGGCTGTGGGGATGGCGGCAGGTCTGTCAGGATATGCAGGACCCCGGAAGCGTACTCTTAAAATGAGTGAGTAGGATGGCAGGTGAGTCATATCTCAATAGAACTGTTGCCACAAGAGAGAAACCCAAACCCAAACCCACTCTTCAGCCGTGGGGCTGCTGCAGGAAGGGACAGCTCATGGCGCTCCCCGCGCCCCTCTCCCGGGGCTGCCCCCACTACTCCTGCCTGGCTGCTGGCTTCCCTCGCAAGATCACCGGGTGCTCTCCCCTGGGTCCGCACCGGGGCTCACCCAGGGGACTTCCACAGGCAGCAAGGGGCTGTCCCGGGTCACTTGGGAGTGCTGGGGCCGGGACTGCAGATTCCCGGGGAACGAGCCAGGTGGTCCCTGGTGATCCTGGGGAAGGCCGTCCTGCTCCCCTGCAGCCAGGTCCAGCCACTGCCAGGGAGGGCTGGGGCGGGGGGTAGGGGGACGGTGGGGGAGCAGCAGTCCCAGCTCCTCCTGGTCTCTGATGACGCCCTTGCCCATGCGCCACCACGTGCTTCCCGCGGCACTGCCTAGGGAAGGGCTGGGCTGGCTGGGTCCCAGAAGCGTCTTTACTTGAGGTTGTGGGGGGGCCAAGCCCCAGTTCCGGGTAGGGAGCTGGGGCCGGGGGGGGGCAGCGATGGGTCCCATGGTCTGCCAGTGCAGGTGCCCCACCAGGTCTGCCGGCAGGTCCAGGGACTGCAATGCTGAAATAACGAGAACCCCTCCCCCGACCCCGCAGAGCACCTGGGGTCTTGGGAGGTGGGTGTGTGAGAAAGGCAGGGCTCGGGGTCACTGGGGGGAGGAAACTGTGCTCTCAGCCCCGTGGCAATGTCCCTAGCAGCTCCGCTCACAGTCAGCGAAACCAGCCAGACGTGCATGGCAGAACAGCAGGGTCAGCGGTGCCAGGAGTATTACCCAGCAGGAAAAAGGGACACACATCTGGCACGTGACAACTTCATAGCGACAAAGACTTTGTGCGGGAACGGCGCCAGAAAGGTGAACCATGGTCTGCTTCTGCTGATGTGACATTCCTGGGAAACACTATGCGTTGGAGGGCAGATCTGCAGTCACCAGGGGCTGGCAGGGGTGGGGGGAAAGGGGCAGCCCTGAAGGGCTGGCGGAAGGGGTTTCAGGGTGATGGAAGGTTGCAGCAGCGGTTACACGAATCCCCGTGTGGTGAAATTACAGTAAGTCAAATCTTTGTTTTCCAGTATGATCTTTAAAAATAATAATAATAAAAAGCTATCAGCAAGACCCTGTCTCCACAAGTAATAAAAATTAGCTGGATGGGGTGGCACATGCCTGTAGTCCCAGCTATTTGGGAGGCTGAGGTGGGAGGATCACTTGAGCCCCGGAGTTCCAGGCTGCAGTGAGCCATAATCACACCATGGCACTCCAGCCTGGGCAAGTGAGACTGTCTTTTTTTTTAAAAAAAAAAAAAAAAAAAAAAAAAAAGGCCTCCAAAACCCCAAACCATCAGTGCTGCTCCAAGCATCTGCTGTTGGCCACCTGGAGTGGCCGCTGGATGCTGCTCAGCAGTCACCAGAGGCGCCACTGTTCTCTCCAGGAGGATGTAAAATGGGTCATGGCTGCACTTGGGGTTTCCTTAATTACCATGGTCTTATTAAAGGTGGTAATTATTCCTTCCACAGTTTCCGCTATGGTTTGAATGCTTGTCCCTCCAAAACCTGTTAAAATTTGCCTTTGTGACAGTATTGAGTAGGACCTTTAGATGGTGGTCAGGCCTTGAGGGTTGCACCCTGACAGCAGGGATGGGTGCTTCGGCCCCCTCCTGCCTCCCCACGTGATGGCACAGTTAGGTGGCCCTCGCCAGATGCTGGCACCTTTCCAGTACTGAGCCAGCTAGTCCCTTCATTATAAATTGCCCAGCCTCAAGCATTCTGTGATAGCAACACAAAACGGACAAAGAGTTTCTAAAGTTGAGTCCCTGGGAGACCACGAAGAGCCAACAGATGCAAACACTTTACAGGCAGGATACAAAAGTGGACTCAGAGCTGGAAGACCCCCAAGATTTCACGTTTGAAGAAACCAGGGCTCAAAGGGTTCCATGGTCAAGCCAGCCACAAGTTGGGGTCTGAGTCTGGAGCAAATCTTCCTTCCCTGAGTACCTGCTCTGCGCAGGAGCTGGCCGAGCTCAGGCACACAGGGGTCAGGGGCCCCATCCCGTCCATGACGGCCCTCCATTCCGTCCCACATATTTCTACTGCCACACTGCCAGCACCACGGCCAAGTGTGCTTTCCAGTAACAGTGTTTGCAGCCTCTGAAGACAAAGGCACCATTTCCCCATTATGCCCCATGCTTCTCGGAATGGCGCCCAGCACGGCTGCCTGGGAAGGGCCCAACACGGCTGCCTGGAAGTCTTCCATAGCGGGCGGGCTCCAACAGCCCCTCCCCAGCTCTCTGAGCCACTCGCTGTGAGTCCCTGCCCTCTGCAGCCTCTCCTCCCCCTCCACGCCCTCCCTCCGCACGGCCCAGCCCCCAGGCATCTCTGGCAGGACACCAGCTTCGCCCCGAGGTTCCTTCTAATTTTTTTCACTTATCATGTGAAACAAATTTGTTCCACGTTGTCATGGCCCTAGGTCACCAACCTAGACTAGGAGATCAGGCTGGTCAGGCTCCAGCCAGCACTGGGCTCTGCGCCTTGCAGGGAGGACAGGCAGCCACCAGCCTGCCAGAACCGGGAGCTGACCAGCCAAGTCACCCCAATGCCAGAGCTGGGAACCGGCTCCAGGTTGCTCTGGGTTGTCAGGGCAGACCCCTGCAAGGTTCAGGGAGGAACGTGTACACGAACAAGGCTGATCAGTACTCAGGCTCTCACTTCTTGGACAGTAGGAGGGAACGTGGACCCCACGCCGCTGCTGGCCCTGCAGCAGGACAGATGGTCGCTGGTGTTCCCGGGACGGCCCCCTGGGCTCTGACAAGGAACCTGGCACAAGGTGGAGGCCACTGTGGACAGCTGTTCCGGTCACGGCTGAGAGCAGAATCCCACCACAAAATGCTGCCAGAACACCCAGTCTCCGGTGGAGGCTCCTGGGTTCTCAGGGAGGGAGAGGGAAGGGAGGGGTCTGCCCCCCAGGCAGGGTGTGGAGAGGCTGAGACTGAGGGCTGGGACTCAGCGGAACAAGGGCCCATCCAGCCAGGCCTGCAGCTCCCTAATGCAGGTTCTTGGTACCCTCCACGCAGCTGGGGCTCCACGGGCCCGGGGCGCACTGCTGCAGGAAGCAGGTCATGGGGCTGCAGCCTCATCAGTGAGATGCCCTCCAGGCTGCGGGGCAGTCCCGGGGACATACAGAGGAAGCCTCAGCCAGCTAGTTTTCTGCAGAATACCCGCAAGGGTTGTTGGAAGACCCCATCGCCCCCGGCTGACACGCACACCGCAGGAGGGCAGCTGCCACAGGGGAAAGGCGACTTTCCCGCAAACCCAGACCTTCAGCTTCTTCAGTCCCGAGACCCAGCAGTGCAGGGCTAGCTCCCTCACTGGAGTGGGGTGTGGAGCTGCCCCTCAGAGCACCTGCCCACCATTTTCCCTGGACATCAAGATTCGCACCTGGGCACCAGGACCCCAAACCCGTCACTCTCTGGGGGCACCACACTGTCCGCATCCCTTGCATGACTGTGGCCCGCAGACCCAGGATCACACGAAGCTACTCCAGGGAGACAGAGTCCCTTGAGGGAGGTGCATCCAGAGTGGCACCTTGGCTGTCACAGAGGGCAGCTGCCCAGAGGTGGCCATCAGAGCCGAGCCTCCATCTCACGTGTGCAGAGCCCAGGCCTGGCCAGGCAGCTGCCATCCCATGAGCATCCCCACGTTGGTCAACCGGCTGGGCTTCAGGCAGGGTCACCTCGGGAGAGGGGCCACACACAACCCAACCACACTACCACACAGGGAACCACGTCTGGGTCCCCACTGCGCCCAAGTCCACGAGGCAGCGGGCATGCAGGGCCACTTTAATACAGGCCGGCCCGAGTGGGGGTTGAGGTGACGGCTCCCTTTGTCCTCATGGCTTCCCACGGGTAGGGGTGGTCCCAGGGAGATGGCCTCATAACCAAACCAGCCCCGGGGACAAGAAGGCACGCCATGCCCCACAGCCTCCTGTTCTGGCTGCTGGTGGCTCAGGGGCCCGCAGGGCAGGAGGGCCCCAGGTCTCGCAGTTCCACGAGCCCCCAACACAGGGACCCCCACAGACAAACTTCGGATGCTGCACTCGCCCGGGTGGCATCTCCTGAGCACCGGAGGTCCTCTCTCAGCAGGGCTGAGCCCTGTGGGCAGAGCCGTGAGTAGCAGGGGTGAAGTCAGACCCATGAGCGGAGGAGTGAAGTCAGGGCTCTGGGAGTCGTCAATCCAGCAAGAATGCTCCTGGCCCGCCGCCTTCAAACAGGAAGGTGGGCATCTGGGACGCGGAGGCAGAGGCACGGAGAGGTTCAGCACATGCTGGTCTCCTGGGGATCCCACCACGGGCAGGGAAGCTGAGGCGCGCCGGGAAGCCAGGCCAAGGGAGGGAGCCCGTCACGGAAGCCTGCACCAGCTAATGAGAGCAGCGAGGGGCAAGAGGGCGCGCGGGGACCCCAAGGTCTGGAGGCGTCTTCCCCACAGCATAGCACAAGCCACATGGGGCTGGGGCTGCAGGGGAACAGCACCAGGGGTGTCAGGCCCAGGCCGAGGCCACCAGGAGAGTCACGGCCGGTAGAAGCTGGGCTTGGCAGAGGGTGCCATCCAGAGATGAGGGCAGGCTAGCGGCGCCCAAGCGCGTTCAGGCCCGAGTGCCGGGAGACTCTCTGGAGTCCTCCTGCGAGTGCCTGCGTGGCAGCGGCTCTGCTCAGCACCGTGGCGCTGGGCTCCAGGGTACCCAGTCAGGGGCTGGCCATGACCCAAACTCTCTGTGGGCCACAGTCCCCAGGGCATCCCTGTGAGTCCTGCCAGAGGACGCCATGTTACGAAGCTGCCACCAGGTCTGCCTGCCTCGGCCTGGACTTGACAGGGACTTTCTCTGTGGAGGAAACAAAAATATTGATGACATGCTCAAGACCTCACAGGCAGGAACCTCCAGAGAGGGACGAGGTCAGAGACCCACAGGTAGGGACCTCCAGAGAGGGACGAGGTCACGGGGGTGGCGAAGGCCAGCGCTGGGGCTTCATACTAGGGAAGGGAGTGCCCAGCTCTGGGGGAGGCAAGTGACAAACAGGAAGCCGACAGGGCTGACAGACAGGCCGGGGTGCAGGACAGTGGCCGGAAAGCATGGCCCTCCCGGCGGGACCCAAAGATGGTTAACGGAACAGAACAAACATGGACGGGCGATTCTAAATCAGGTTCCCAGCGGGCAGGCTGGAGGCTGTGCTGAATGCTCCCGTGGGGACAGCCATCCCTGGCTGTGACATTTCAGACGAATCCTGGGCTAGAACCTGGGAATGAGCTCGTGCTGCTAAAGAGCGCTGTCCCCAGTTCTGATTTCTGGATGTGCCCCTTTGAAGGGGGCACGGCTCTCTTACGCAGTTAGCCAGTTACCCAGCCCCTGGGAGACCCGAGGCCAGGCACGCACGCCCCGAGCCACACAGCCAGGTGCCCAGGGCTCGCCCGTGGCCAGGAAGGCCGGACGACCTCTCCAAGTGGGAAAGGCAGGGAGTCTCCTCGTCTGAATTCCAACCACTTGAAAGGATCAGGCATGGAAATACCTGGGATCTTCTCAGGAAGGGGCTCGGAGGGAACCTCGGGCAGCTCTATTTGTTCCTGCAAGAAGCAAGGGGCAAGACCGTGAGCAGGTGGCAGGTCTCCCTGCGCTGCCTGGGCCTCCCCCAGAGAGGATGTGGATTCCTGCCGGTCAGACGCTGTCGGCCGGAGTTAAAGTGACAGGAACCCGCTGCTCAGGAGGCCCGAGTATGCTCCCGCCCCGGCTTCTGGCGCCGCCAGAATCCCCCAGGTGTGATGCAGCCACAGCCACGGGGGCACCTCCCAACAGGCCCTGGGCCCTGAGAGCTAGAAAGAGGTCACGTCCTGGGTGTGCCCCAGAGACCCTGGCTCTCAGGGACCAGGGTGTCACACAGACACCCAGGTCACATGGTGTCCACAGTGGCAGGGCGGGCCGTGGCACCACACTATCCCAGAAAGCCCAGCTGCCTAAGCCACCACGGGCGCTTCGGCCTGTCAGCTGGGCCTGTCCTGGAGGCCCCCGAGGACTGGGACCCTCAGGAGAAAGTAACTGAGCAGGCAGGTGGGCTCAGGGCACCACGGGCAGCACAGCACCAGAGCGATGGGGCAGCTGGCAGCAGGGCTGGGGCAGAGGCCGGCTCTGGGGTCACAGGGCGAATTTGATAAACTGAGGCAGTGGCCCAGAGAGGGACAACCCCTTCCCGGGGAGTGAATGCAGGCCCAGAGCCTGGATGTGGGCATGGAGCCAGGATGCGGCCCCCGTGGCGACGGCCTGGGATGTGAGCCTGCAGCCGCCCATGGATCAAGCACTACATCCATGACAGCCAGGGACAGAAAAGGGCTGAGGCACCAGAAGGCCCAGCATCCCCACTCCGTCCAGGGCATGGGCCAGTCTGCCTGCACCAGACCGTTGGGTGAGCAACCTTGAAAACCGAGGCACCTCAGACAGGAAAACCAGTCGCAAACCCCAGACCGTTTGCTTAAGGGACACACATGTGGTATCACCACGGGCGGGAGATTCCTGCGGGTCTGACCTCTAGGGTCCCATCGCCTGAGTGACCGCTCTCAGTTCTGGGGGTCCCGTCCCATCCCCCGAGTGACCACATTCAGTCCTGGGGGCCGTCACCTGAGTGATTGCGCTCAGCTCCTCCAGGATGGCGTCTTCATCCTCCTGAGTGAAGCTTCCTGCCAGGAGCTCATCTATTTGCTGCAAAAGGATGGGTGGTGGTGAGAGCAGCCAGGAGGGAGGCGGCCCCTTGCGGGGGAAGGAGGCGGCCTGTGGCTGGGTCTCGTCCCCTTGAGAGAAGGTGGCGGCTGTAGGGTGTGGGACAGTTTGGCCCTCGAGGGTGGCCTGTGCGTTCCCGCAGTTGGGGCAGGCGGTCGGGGGGCCACCTACCCGCTGGTACTCCACGGCCTCCTGTGTCTCGTCCAGGATCCTCTCCACCTCTTCAATGGACATCACCTGCGGACGGCGGTGTTGACACTGTCGGGGGGGGCCAGTGGTGGACCCCAACGGACACCACCTGGGCCCTCGGGCCACAGTCTCATCCCTCTGTTTTTATTTTTTTTTTCTTTTATTATTTTTGGGGATGGAGTCTTGCTCTGTCACCGAGGCAGGAGTATGGTGGCGCAATCTCGGCTCACTGCAACCTCCGCCTCCCAGGTTCAAGCGATTCCCGTGCCTCAGTCTTCCAAGTAGTTGGGACTACAGTCACTTGCCACTACGCCCTGCTTATCTTTTGTATTTTTAGTAGAGACGGGGTTTCACTGTGTTGGCCAGGCTGGTCTTGAACTCCTGACCTCATGATCTACCCACCTCGGCCTCCCAAAGTGCTGGGATTTACAGGCATGAGCCACTGTGCCCGGCTCTATTTCTTTTATTTTTTTAGAAAGGAGGTCTTGTTGTGTTGCCCAGGCTGGGCTCAAGCGACCCGTCCCAGCAGCTGGGACTCTAGGCACATGCCACCACGCCCAGCTCCTGTCCCTGTTCAAATGAGGCCAGGCCAAGTGTGTCCCTGGCACGGCCCTGTCCTGAGGCCACAGGAGCCATCTGATGCGTCTTTTCAGAGGCCGCACTGCACTGCTCCGCCTGCTGGCCCTTCTCACACCTGAGTCAGCTCTCACGGCCACAGGTAAATAAGCCAAAGGGGCCGGGTGAGTGGCTCACGCCTGGAATCCCAGCACTGTGGGAGGCCGAGGCGGGTGGATCACGAGGTCAAGAGATTGCAACCATCCTGGCCAACATGGTGAAACCCCGTCTCTACTAAAAAATACAAAAATTAGCTGAGCGGGGGAGGGGTGCGCGGCTGTAGTCCCAGTTACTTGGGAGACTGAGGCAGGAGAATTGCTTGAACCAGGGAGGCAGAGGTTGCCGGGAGCTGAGATGGCGCCACTGCACTCCAGCCTGGCAACAGAGTGTGGCTCTGTCTCAAAAATAAACAAAGAAAAATAAATAAACAAAAGGTGGAACATTCTGGGCAGCGACTTGATTTCTTTTGAGTGGCAAGGTCAAAAGGCCACTTGTGCCTGACTGGCACATACTGCTGGGACTCACCAGACACTTGGAAGACTGGCACAGCCAGACCTCCCGCCAGGTGAGTCCCCGGCTCCAACTAGCTCCACCCACTGACCCCACGTCAGCAGTGGGATGTGGCATGGCCATGCTGGGCTTCACGGCCATGCTGGGCTTCACATCCATGCCCGGCCTGAGACAAGGCTGGTATTCACCTCCTCCAAGAAGCGTTTTTTAATTTTTTAATTTTATTTTAATTTTTTCAGAAAAAAAGAGAGAAAAAAAAAGAAAAAAAAAAATGAAGGAGAGGGAGGAAGAGGAAGAGGAAGAGGGAGAGAGAACGGGGGTGTTGCTTTACTGCCCGGGCTAGAATGCAGTCTAAAAATGGGTATGCTTATAATTGCGCTTAATAATAGAGACATGAAAAAAAAACGAGGAAAGAAAATAACTAACAAGCAGCCAACCAATATTTCATTTAAACCTGTAAGTAGATCTGATGTGGTACTGATAAAACTGTATATTCTGTGTATTTAAAGTGCAGAGTTCTATAAATGTTAATTAAGTTTACTTGTTCCAGATCTGAGTTCAAATCCTGGATATTGTTATTAAGCCTTTTTTATTTTTATTTTTTGTGACAGAGTCTTGGTTTGTTGCCAGGTGCCAGGCTGGAGTGCAATGGCGCGATCTCGGCTCATTGCAACCTCCGCCTCCTGGGTTCAAGCAATTCTCCTGCCTCAGCCTCCCAAGTAGCTGAAACTACAGGCGTGCGCCACCACACCCAGCTAACTTTTGTATTTTTTTTTTTTTTTTTTTTTAGATGGAGTTTCGCTCTTGTTACCCAGGCTGGAGTGCAATGGCGCGATCTCGGCTCACCGCAACCTCCGCCTCCTGGGTTCAGGCAATTCTCCTGCCTCAGCCTCCTGAGTAGGTGGGATTACAGGCACGTGCCACCATGCCCAGCTAATTTTTTGTAGTTTTAGTAGAGACAGGGTTTCACCATGTTGACCAGGATGGTCTCGATCCCTTGACCTCATGATCCACCCACCTCAGGCTCCCAAAGTGCTGGGATTACAGGCGTGAGCCACCGCGCCTGGCTGCCTTTTTAAATTTTTTTTATTTCTGAGACAGTTTTGCTCTTATTGTCCTGGCTGGAGTATAAATCTTGGCTCACTGCAACCTCCATCCCCTGGTTCAAGTGATTCTCCTGCCTCAGCCTCTTGAGTAGGTGGGATTACAGGCACCTAACACCACGCCCGGCTCATTTTTGTATCATCAATAGAGACGGGGTTTCACCAGGTTGGCCAGGCTGGTCTCGAACTCCTGTCCTCAGGTGATCTTCCCACCTTGGCCTCCCAAAGTGCTGGGATTACATGCGTGAGCCCCCAGGAAGCCTTCTATGAAGTTTGCCAGCCCCCTCCCCACCCTCAGACTTCCCCTCTAGGTCACTTCGGCGCCTGGGGACCCCGTTCTTACAGTTCCCAGCCTGTGCTGCACCCCACCCTCAGGTCGCTGCCTCCCTGCCTGCCTGCCAGGCAGCACCGACACATCTCCCCGGCCAGCCTCTTGTCCTGTGCCTGACACAAACACCATGGGACAATCTCCGCACCCTCTCCCCAACTCCAGCACTGCTGGGCTCCCCACTCCTTCGTGCCTCAGCCCTGCAGCCCCACCTGGTGGGCTCCCCCCCCTGCATCCCACCCTGCAGCCCCACCTGGTGGGCTCCCCACCCCTCCGCACCCCACCCTGCAGCCCCACCTGGTGGGCTCCCCACTCCCCCACGCCACACCCTGCAGCCTCACCTGGTGCATCTTGTTCAGACACTCATTTCCCAGCTGCAGCCCTTCCATCACCTTCATTTCGATCTGAGTGAACTCAATACTCTGAACCTGAAAAGGACACCAAGCAGACTCAGGCACTGAGGGTCCGGCGTGCCCTCTTCGCAGCCCAGAGGCAGGGTTCAGGATGACACCCCTGCTGGCCACGTGCTTCTGGGTGTGAGGACGACCCCAGCCCCTGCTCCTTCCTGTCCACTCCGCTGCCAGGGGATGTGCAGGACTAAGAAGGCGCTGGGGAGACACTGCAGAAGGTGCTGGTTGCTTGTTAGTAGCTCTGGTTACCAAACAGCAGAACCACGCCACTTGGATCCCTAACACCAGGGACACTCAGTCCCCCACACAGACCCCTGACCTACCCACACCACCCAGGGGCGGCCCAGCGTTTCCAACCTCGGTCCTGCGAGAGCCCCCCTCCCCCCAGCCCCTTAGGACCATGGGCTTCTGGCAGACTCCCCTTGGATTCCAGGCCCGCCCCACTGCCAGGTCAGCTTCAGCCTGAGGCATGTGAGGAGGGGCTTTCAGCTGTCGGGAGAAGCTCCCAGGTCCACGCGGCCAGGCGAGCCTCCCGCTGCGCCTGCGCCCCAGGGTGAAGCACCCAGCGCCTACCATGGCCTCCAGGCTGCTGATCTGGTTCTCCGTCCTGTCCAGGAGCTGCTCCTGGTATCGCTTCTTCCTGAGCAGCAGCTTGGCCCGTCTGCAGAGGGAAGCCCGAGAGTGACCTGCTGTGGCCCTGCCCAGGCCCCCACCCCAGCCAACAGGGTGCCCACACTGCCGGGCCTGCTCACTCCTTCCTGCCGTCCCGCAACAGCTGCCGGGCCAGGGCGCGCTCGCGCTCCAGCTGCTGGGCGACCCTCTTCTGGTACTGCCTCAGCTTGTCCCGCTGCTGCTTCAGTTGCTGCCACGAGAGAGCGGGCCTGGTGACACCCAGCCACGCTGCGGGCCCTGGCCGCGCCACTGAGTGCCAGACGTGGAGGCCAGGTGGTCCTCCACGAGTGTCCTTCATGGGGCAGGGTTGTCTCCCAGGGAACAGGTGGGGCTGGCTGGAGACATCTGGGAGGTGGAAAGCAGGGACACTGCTCCCTGTCCTGCCACACATGGGACAGCCCCACCAGAGAGTCACCCAGACCCCAAAGCCCACCACAAGGATGGGGAGGACCACCGCGGCATTGCTGTTGGGCCGCTCTGGAGGCTGCCTGCCAACGGTGTGACACTCGGGGCTCAGGCCAGGGAGCAGCTGCCAGGAACTCAAAGATTTGGACTCAACAGAGAACACGCAGGTGGTGAGCACCCAAGTGCCACCAGCCCACAGGTTAGGGCTTGGATACCCCCCAGCCTCTCCCCTTGGGCTTCAGCTATCCCTTTGCTGGCCACCCACCTGCAGGACACACACACGGTGACGTGCCCTGCAGACCCACTGACTGCCTCCCATCCGGGCGCTGCCCCAGAGAGGGCGCTTGGCCGCTGAAGAATGAACTTCAGGTAGTCCTGCCCCATCAGGCCCGTGAGTTTTCCAAACGTCATCACTGCAGACAGTGCTGAGCCCATGCAGACACAAGAATCAGAGCCTTAAAGCAGGAGGCGGAGGGGCATTAGCTCAGTCAGGACCTGGCCGCAGGTTTAACACTCCTCATGGCAAGTGAGTGCTCCCTCTACCTGAGAGGCCTCATGCCTGGCTCCCTTCACCCAGGAGGCTCCCCTTCCCAGTGCCAAAACTTGTGGGTCCTCTCACTGCTACAGGGAAAGGTGCCCCCTGCCCAGCCCCATTGCTGGGGAGACCCAGGGGCCAAAGGCAGGCAGGTATGGCCAGGCTGCCCTGCTGTAAAGTCAGGTCTCAGCAGCATGGAGTCCACCTGTTATCAGAGAAACGGAAAGAAGCAATCATTTGTGCTCCTGTGTGGTAAGGACGCTGTTCCCAAGGGCCCGAAATCCTGGGGGCCCTAAGGCAGCCAGGAACACGGGTCTGCACAGCCCAGAGCCCACGGGGACCCTTGGCAAGTGCAAAGCGCTGCTTGAAGGGAAACCGGAGCCGAGCGGAGTCCTTAGAGACAGGGAGGGAGCGCCTTGGGGCTGCCAGGGAAGGTGGAGGCTGGGCCCAGCTGTCTTGCAGGCGGCTGGGGCGTGCCCAGAGAGGTGCCCCTCTTCTCCAGGGACAAACGTGACCGCTGTTTCTTTTCATAGCCGATGGGCTCAAATGCCAAGGTAAGATCCCCTCTTGCATTTCCATTCACTTCTCTTTTAGTATAAAATTCACCCATTTCTGTTTCAGAAAATTTAGAAGAGAAAGCATCCGAAAAAGCGAGCCCTGCTCCCATTTCGGGGTCTCTTCCCCGACACGTTTATCTGGCACAGAACCGGACGATCCCCAGCCCGCCGCGTCCTCGAGGTGCCAGGCGATTCCTCCCGCAGCGGCTGACTTCACATCGGAGCCGCCGGGGCCGGCACGGGGGTCCGTCTGCGGCCGCCGCGAACGAGCGCGCAAAGCGCGCGTCCTGCACCCAGGCGCGGCGGGACCGGGGCGGGGGCGAGGGGGACGGGACCGCCCCGCAGCGCAGCGCGAGGCCGGCAGCGCCCGGGGGCACCGGGAGAGCCGGGGAGCCCAGCGCCGCGCGGACCCCGGACCCGCCGCCGAACCCCGCACCACCGCGCCCACCCGGCGGGGTCAGCAGCCGCCGCGCCGCGCGGGAGACCCCGGCCCGAGCCCCGCGGGCGAGGAGGGGCGCGGGGCGGAGCGGCCGAGCTGCGCGCCGCGCCTCAGTTTCCCCACGCGACCGCGGGGGCCGAGGCCGCGGGGCGCTTCCCGCCCCCCGCCCGGCCTCCCGCCCCCCGCCCGGCCCCCCGCCTCACCAGGATGGCCTTGTCCTGCTCCGTGACGCGGCTCTGCTTCTTGCGGCCGAACAGGTTGCCCATGGCGGCGCCGGCCCCACGGAGTCCGATCGCCGCCGCCGCCCCGCGGCCACCGTAGCCCAGGCCCTCCCCGCTACGGCGGCCGCGCCGGGCCAGACGACGCGGAACGCGAAGCCCGAGCGCCTCCCCGGCCGCGCGCCTGCGCCGCGGGTTCGAAACCACAGCCGGGCGGTCTCGGCGTCCTTGGACTCGTACGGAGAACTGGCACCGACCCCTGGATGTTAGCGCCCGGGATGTTCTGAATGACGTGTTTCCGTGCGCCCTTCCCGCGCAGGCGAAGACGAAACTTTCTTATCTCCTAATTAGAAGGGATCATTTTAGGTTAGATGAGATCCTTTAGATTACAGTATTTAGTCTCCCCAGGTTTTCAGGAACCTTGTGCAGGAATCACTGTTCCCGCCGGCCCTGAACACAAAATGCTGCGTTTAGTGATGTTACGTCCAACGTTCTGCACTGTAAAAGTGTTCCCTGAAACGCGCCCAGCAGCGCGCTCCATCCAGCCGTTCAGCCCGGGGATCTCCCCTCTTCCACCACGCTGCTCTCTGCCGGTGGATCAGGAGGAGCTCAGCATGGCCGGGCTCAACTTCTCCTTCCTAGGAATCGTGGCTGCGTCCCCCGCAGAAGCGTTCCTCCCTGGAGGGCTAAGAAACAGGCGAGGGGGAAAGGGGTGCTAGGGAGAAGCCACCCCACCTTCAGCCCCCGGTTCCCGCCTTAATATCCTGGCTGTGGTTTCTGAGCATTCACTGTCACAGAAAAGCACTCGGCTTATAGCTGGGGAGGCCAGGAGTTCAAGACCAGCCTGGGCAACATAGCAAGACCCCCCTTCCCCGCCCCCCGCCGTCTCTACAAAACATGTAACAAATACTAATTATCACCTGCGCCAAAATTTTGCCCTCCCCCAAGAACCTTCCCTGAGGTGAGGGGGTCTCTGAATTTTTTGGGGGGTTTATCTCCCACCCTCTGACTTGTCTCACTAAGATATCTAAAGTACTTTTTTCTTTAGTGTCCATTGGGACGTTGAAAAAAATAAAAAGTACTTGCTACTTCCTGCTCCTCATGAAGGGGGAAGGGAAGTGCTGGGTAGAGAAGGGGGTGGTCCCTGGCTGGGGATCCCCCCCACCGCCTGTACCCACAAACCTAAGTGAGGACAGGGATTTGTGTTTTCCTGCCCAAATGTCGTTTTCCAAAGAGCACCCTGGCCTGCCACGCCCCCAACTTGTGCCTATAAAATCCCCAAGACACTCACAGGCCGACACAGGTGGCTGAACTTGGAGAGCTACACGTAGGCGGAAGAAGGCAGTGGGCGGCGGGGCACGCGGGCCCTCCTGGAGGCCACTGAAGGCGAAACCAGGTGGAGTTTGCCCCGGGGCGGTCAGCGATCCCACTCCAGGGGGAAACCTGCCCGCTCCATCCCCTTCTGGCTTCCCCCATCTGCTGAGAGCTCCCTCCACTCAATAAAACCTTGCACCCCAGCCTGACCAACATGGAGAAACCCCGCCTCTCCTAAAAATACAAAAGCAGGCCGGGAGCAGGCTCACGCCTGTAATCCCAGCACAGCAGCACTTTGGAAGGCCGAGGCAGGTGGATCACGAGGTCAGGGGTTTGAGACCAGCATGGGCAACACGGTGAAACTCCGTCTCCACTAAAATACAAAAAATTAGCTGGGTGTGGTAGTGGCTGCCTGTAATCCCAGCTACTCTGGAGGAATCTCTTGAACCCAGGAGGCAGAGGCTGCAGTGAGCCAAGAATGGGCCTCTGCACTCCAGCCTGGGCGACAGAGCGAGACTCCGTCTAAAAAAAAAAAAAAAAAATTAGCTGGGCGTAGTGGCACACGCCTGTAATCCCAGCTACTCCGGAGGCTGAGACAGGAGAATTGCTTGAACCCGGGAGGTGGAGGTTGCAGTGAGCCGAGATCACACCATTGCACTCCAGCCTAGGCAACAGAGCGAGATTCCATCTCAAAAGAAAAAAGCCTCTTTTTAATAAACGACCCAGTCTTAGTTTTCTTCCTTTCTTTTTTCGTGAGCCAGGGCTTTGCTATGTTGCCCAGACTGGAGTACAGCGGCGTGACCTCGGCTCACTGCAGCCTCAACCTCCTGGGCTCAGTCCTCCCAAGTCAGCCTCCTAAGTAGCTAGGACGACAGGCGTGTGCCACCATGCCTGGCTAATTTTTGTGTTTTTTGTAGAGATGGTGGTCTCACCCCATTGCCCAGGCTGGTCTTGAACTCCTGAGCTCAAGCAATCGTCCCACTTTGGCCTCCCAAAGTGCTGGCATTACAGAGGTGAGCCACTGTGCCTGGCGTCAGGCATGTCTTTTCTTTTTCCTTCCTTCCTTCCTTTCCCTCCCTCCCTCCCTCTCTCCCTCCCTCCTTCCTTCCCCCCCCTCCCTCCCTCCTTCCTTCCTTCCTTCTTCCGCTCTCTCTGTCTCTCTCTCTCTCTCTCTTTATGGAGTTTCATTCCTGTCTCCCAGGCTGGAGTGTAACGGCACGACCGCACCACTGCACTCCAGCCTGGGCGACAGAGTGAGACTCCATCTCAAAAAAGAACTTGGCATCCATTTGAGGCGAGTGTCTTGTCATTCTCGAGACACTTGCGTGTTTCCCTCCCCTGCTCCACAGTTAACTTTCGTAAACAGGTGCGGGTCCCTCTGGGGGAGCCCTGGCGTGGCTCTGCTGGTGTACTCCGTGTAGGGAGCTCCCTCGAGGGACCTGGCCCCCACTTCAGGGGTTCCAGGTCTGTGATTTGGCTCAGCCTGGGAGGGGGTGAGAGGCTGTGGCTGTCCACTGCGGTGACTCAAGTGAGGTTTGGCCACCGGACTCTGAGTTCTGTTATTGTTTCATAAGACAAGCGACACTAAAGTCAGCGACCTTTCGTTTCACCCCAGGGGCAGGCCGTGGCACCCTGAACTCAGTTCCGGGCCGCCGGCGCACACGGCCTGCGAGGGACTTGGCGGCTGCTTCCTGTCCTGCCGCGACCCCAGGATCTATTACCCACGAAGATCAAGGAGCCCATCTCAGTTGCGCCCCACCCCCTCCCCGCCGCGGTCACATGTGGCCTTCGAAGGGAGCAGTAGCGGGACTTTTGGGGTGCAGGGGCTCCCCCTGCCCGCTATTCCTCGTGTCCAGGAAGGCGGTGCTCTGAGCTGCGGGGCGTGGCTGGGTGTGGCGAGCAGGTCACACTCACCAACTGCTCCTCCCCGTGGACCTTCGGATTCTCTCCTCCAAATGCCACGGAGCGCTGGTGTCCTGGACTCAGGCCCTGCGGGCTTCTGGGTCCGACCTTCAGCAGTCAGGTGAGGGCGCTCTAGCTGTGGCTGTGGTGGCCGACTCCCAGATCAGGGACCTCAGTCCCCTCTGCCGTCTGATGCAGCTCCTCGGTCCAACCTCCCCGAATCCACCCCCACACAGCATCCCCCGGCTTCCCACAGCATCGATCTGAAACATCCCTGAATTCTTGTAGCATGTGAGCCAGGGTGTGTCAGACCACAGCCTGCGGGCCACATCGCCGGGAATCTGAGGTCTGGGCACTTTCTCTGGTTTCAGTTCTGGTTCCTGTAAAGCCTTCCAGTTCAGAGTGGGTTTTACAGTTCTCAAGGATTGTAACACACACACACCCCCCAAAAAGGAGGAGGAATGGAGGAGGGAGAAGAAGGAGAAGGAGAGCAAGAGCAAGGTGGCCAGAGGCCGCATGTGGCTTACCGAGCCTGATGTTTACTGTTGGATCCTTTTTTTCCTTTGTGACAGAGTCTCCCTCTGTTTCCCAGGCTGGAGTGCAATGACTTGATCTCAGCTCACTGCAACCTCTGCCTCTCGGGTTCAGGTAATTCTCCTCCTGCCTCAGACTCCCAAGTAGCTGGGATTGCAGGAACCTGCCACCATGCCCAGCTATTTTTTTTTTGTATTTTTAGTAGAGGTGGGGATTCACCATTTTGGCCAGGCTGGTCTCGAACTCCTGACATCAGGTGATCCGTCCGCCTCAGCCTCCCAAAGTGCTGAGCTGGCAGGCAGGAGCCACCGCACCGGGACACTGTTTGGTCCTTTACAGGAAAAATTTCCTAAGCCCTAATGACCTGGTGTCTCCCGTGTGGTGCTGTCCCGGGTCCCTAAGCTCCCATGCTGATTATAGACCTCATGGCAACCAGAGGTGGCTGAGCTGGCTTGGGGAGGACAGGCCACCCTCTCGAGGGTCTCACAGGTGGGCTTGTAGAGGGTTTTCAAACTCAGCAGCTTCAGCAGCCTCAGCCGCCACCACTCCCACTGGCCGGGGAGCCTCGGGGCGCCCTGGGAGGAGCAGATGGTGGGCCCTGCGGGGTTCTCTGCGCTGCCTGCACTCTGGGTTGAGACATAGCCTGTCAACGTTCTGCCTCTCAGGTGAGGACGCGGGCAAGGCTGCACACTCAGTGGACGCTGTGATTAGGTGACGCACGGGACTGAAAGCCGTGTTTGATTTTCAGCAGTGTCAGCCCCGCAGGGAGAAGAAACAGGAGCTCCTCTGAGGGCTGCCACGATTGTTCTCTGGAGCCGCTGGAAGGAGCTGCTCCCACCAGCCGTCTGATTGCTGTGAACGCCCAGTGCAGGGAGGAGAAACCCCCGGCCCGAGGTCCTGGGGCGTCCTTGCTGTTCTGCTCTGAAGGGCAGCAGCTTGGGCACCCGGCACCCACCTCACCCAGCCCTTTGTTTTACTTAACCAGAGGCCACAGTGAATCTGCTGCAAAGCAGGTCCCGGCGCCCCGTTTCCCATTGGCAAGAAGCTCAGCCATACATCACACCCTAGGGATGATGAAAACAACCCCTCATGTCCTCCTGGGGCACTCCTGCTAATTCGGTATCGTTAGGTTCCAGGCAGGGGACAGAAGCCACACCAGCGATTTGAACAGGAAAATGTGACATCAAGAATCATAAACTAGAAAAGAATGTTTAGCTATTCAAAGGTTACAAAAGAACTCTGAGGAATACAGGAACAGCAGCGCCAGAAGTGGTGAGTATTTCTAGGACGGGGTCACGAGGGAAGAGACCAAGAACCTGGAAGA